TTGTTACCTTGAAAGAGTGTTTCACTGAAAAGCAGAGATACAACTGTGGGAGGACTCACCCTAACTATCTTTAACGGAAAATAATTAGACTAGTCGTGAGTGGAAGCAGACACTGTGGCACGGTTTTCCTCGGTGATTATCAAACAGATGACATGTTTAGCTGGAGGGATACTGAAAGTATTATGCTAGAAGAAAATATGATGCATCGATCAATTCAAAGTTTCAACATCGCCTTCCCTCAGGAATTTTAACTTTTGAAGATTGGTCTCAGCCCCCTGAGCCAAAATCGTGTTCAAAGGCCCCGCCCAGGTGCTAGATCTTAGTGGTTCTTAATGGGGTTAACTTTTAGCCATAAAACGGCAAAAATTAGCCGTTAGGGGTAAAAATTGACAAATTTTAACCATGAGTCCGAAAAATAATGCAACAGTCAAAAATTTGGCATTAGGCGTATAAAAAAAAAAAAAAAAAAACTGTAACCGTTAGCCGTGAGAGCCATCCGTTGAGACCCTCATTTCATTGTCACATCTTTTGTAAAAGGCACGACCAGCAATTGATTTGACTGTTCAAGCTCCAAAACCTAGACGTTATAGTCCCTATATTCAGAGCCATCCGCTTTAAGTACCTCCATATTAAAAGATAACTGCCAGTATTCCCCTGGAAAGACTTGACACTTGCGGTTCAAATTTCCTACCCCACACAGGTAAGGTTCAAAGGACGACAGTCAAACGCCTGTGGGTTGCCCCGGATGTTGAAGCTGCGATCAACCGGTGTATAACGTCACGGACACAAATTCAACATATTTTTAACGTCAAAATCTTAAAAAAAAAAAGGAATGTCAATTATTACGCTAAGCAAAATTAATTAGATTGAGTTAACGACCACGCCTATAAAAATAAAACAAACTTGTGATCATGTGTGAGTCTTTCTCTACAATGAATTTCTAGGAGAAAAACCCAAGCACGAGGTAAAAATTTGCAAGGACATGTATCTTCAAACAAAAAATCTCAGTAAAAGAATAAACTATTGATGGAAATACCTCGAGCTGGAAGGTTAACAGCTTACTATATGGCAGGACAGTCTTGTGGTAAATCCCAGCGTTCTGATTAGTTCAGTTACTTGGTCTAGATTTTGCCATACGGACCACTTTCATGGAAGCGGTCATAAGCCGTGCATTTTTCCTCGCGAAAGTCGAAAAATGTAAACTAAAGAAGTTTTACCGAACGCCATGATAAAATATATATTTCTTACTGGACGTTTGGTTGTGTAGTATCGCTGAGTACTTTTATGAGTTCTGCCGTATTTTGACNAAGTTTCGCCTTTGATCGGACTTTTGATCCTTTCCCCTAATCTTTTTTCGATAGCTATTTGTTGTTTCGTGTTCTGCCTATTGGCTCTTCTGGGTAATCCCTGCTTCGACTGAAGTTAACAAGTTTCACAGCAAGAAAAATTGACAAGAAAAATTCTCATATAAAAAAAGCTTGTTAAAAACGCTTTTCGTGGATATTCGTTGCAGTAAAATTACAAGATGGGAATAAGATAGAAATAATTTCAGCCTTGCGTGACAAATAGGCGTGGCGAATGGTCCTTCAAAAACTCTGGTTCTCGCAAAATTTTAGTCGAAATTTCGTAGGTCTCGCAGTCTCGTTTTTTCAGCGGTGATGCGAGTCTCGCAGTCTCGTTTTTTATACGAAGGTGTCTCGGAGTCTCGATTTTTTGCAAGGCTAAGGGTCTCGAGGTCCCGATTCGTTTGTTGGTTTTTTTAAAATGACATTTTCTATAAACTGAAATAAGCAAACAAATAAGAAAATGCTATGCTTAATAGACTCTTAATCAAATACTTAGTTTTAATTAACTTTGTTTTCCAGAAAAATCAATCTTTTGAATATTAACTGATTTCCCCGCTTTCGACGCGATCGCCGGAAAGCGATCGATTGTATGGTAGTTTTAATATTTCGACCTACTTTGCCAACTTTTGCCATCTTGGGCAAACAATCCCAGGTAAAACCACCATCAGTGCGACTTGCGGCTTAGATCTTTCATAGTTAGCTATAGTAGCTTACAGTTATGGGACCGCGGGACTTGACTGGCCATGCGTGGCGTAGTTGTTTTCGCGAGGCCGGGATTGAAGTTTTACTGGTAGACAAACAGCGAATTGTCGGCACATTCATAAATACCAGCATTTATATATCACTGCACGAAAAAGTGGATTTTCACCATATTTGCTCAGTGCAAATCTAAAAAAAATTGGTGCAAACATAAGGGTGGTAAATGCCACATTTGCTCATACATTTGCACCGGGTAGCAAATGTATGAGCAAATGTGACATTTACCACAATTGCTTTGTATTTGCTATATGTTTGCACCAAATTTGCTCAGATTAGCACTGCGTAAATATGATGTAAATCCGTTTTTTCGTGCAGTGTATAGAGTACTTACGTGATTCGTGCTTTCGCTTCCGATAAGAAGAAGAAGAAGACCTTATATCCATTTCGGTTTCTTCCATTGTTTTGAACGCTTCCACCTCAACTGAGTTCAAACACGACCTCGCGTTTTTTCTGACGACTTCCAGACAACTTGAGTTGTAAGTGGCAGCGCGTCAGTGAAAAAAATCAAAGGGAAACGACCAAGCGCAACCTCCCGACCGGAAATTAGGTCATGGCCAGGAAAAAATAGAAATTTATTGACTGTTGACAGAGTTTCAGATCTGATGTTTCGTACAAGGGTTTACAAAAAAAGGATCCTTTGTGAGACTTTTGTACAAGCTCATTCTAGTTCTGAACCAAATCTGAGGCTCGCAAGTTAAGGTGGCTGAACGCAGTTTTTGATACCGGTGTTTCTTTCGCCATTTTCTCTAAAACCCTTGATCTCTCGGTCGCCAAAACTGGTAGCAAGCAAGTTGGAGCGGCCGCTGGCCATCGCAACTGTTGTAACGCTATACCCAAGACTGTTCGCGCGAGAACACTAGAATTGTAACGTTGTTGTGTTTACGTCGTAAAATTAAAATTCTCGTTTTATTTGGTCTTACCACAAGTTAACAACACAAACTATGTTTTCTTTTTGATAGTTAAGCTGACGTGTTTGCCATTACCATGGTGACATGAATAAATATAAACAGGCCTGTAAAATCAGTTTTGTTTATTTGTGTAGAAAATCTAGTCATTAGTTTTTCTTTATAATTTGCATGCAACGAGCTTGTAACGATACTCACAAGTTAGCACCATTTTGCAAACAATCTAACTGAGAGATCTCTAATTATCCCTTGTTGAAGGTTCTCTCGATTATCTAGAATTTCGTTTGTTAAAAGACAATTTTTTCAATACTCCAGTTACTTATTTCCTAAAGTATTTTCGTGCCAGATTTCGTGAAATTCTAATGAGTAGTTCTCAAGAAATACTCAAAGAAAAACAGACGACCTCTGCTAGCTTACGGAATGTGTTATTGTAAACATATCTTCGGCAAAGAACATTTGACCTGCCGTTATAGATAATTGAATTGTCCTCTTTCAAGTTCACAGTGAAGCTCAAGTTTACCCTAGAACTTTCCGTTTAAGACTTCTAGGTGTTCGAATACGCAAAGAAAAACATACGACCTCTGCTAGCTTACGGAATGTGTTATTGTAAACAATTTCGCCAAGGGAAATGGATGAGAACTTGAAACGAGAGCAGAGATAAAAAAAAAATCTCTCGTTGTAAGCTATGCAAGGCTAGCTTGCTGTATTAATTTCCTGAGCGAAAACGGTGCTAACTTCTAAAGTGTGCTTGGAATTCCGAATTTAACCACTGGGTGCCGAATTAGATTATGTCGTGACGTAAATGACGATGTTGCGATACTCACAAAGTTCAGCCTTGTTTTCCCGTGCGGAAATGAAAGCCCCAAAAGGATTTTTATATCCTCGAAAACAACATCATTTTCACTTATCATGAGCTTAACCTGAACTGACTCTGAGTTAAACCGCATGGTGAAAATGATAACTGAAAATTTGCTACGAAATGCGATATTTCCATTTTGAAATATGGGTGAACTTTAAAGGCGTTCCGTGATGTCAAAATTGAATTAAATGGTCCCGTTTAAGACTTAAGCTGTACCTCAATCCCTCCTAAATAAATTTGTCAAATTGATACGAGCTTGCTGTCTTTTGCGCTTTTCGTGAGCAAAGTTCAATTGGCTCTACTGGGGGCACTGATTTCCGCCATTTTACGGCTACCAACGCTCGTTTCAGTTTTGGTGAATTTTCCGGGATAAGGAAGTAAGTCTGGGAAAAATAAACCTTACCACGTTTCTAAGTTCACTATAAGGTATCGCTGGGCAAAATATGGAGGTTTTCAATTTTTCGATCATGTCCCACATTTTTCCATTTTCACTCGGTTAATTCAAACATTCGCTCTCAATACCCTTGAGGAGTTATTGTGTCAGCACAGATACTTAAAAGGTCAGAGAGTTGATAACCATATTTTTACTTATTTTAACAGGGCTTATGTTTCACGGAATTATTTTAAAAATCGCCATACGAAACAGTTTCGTAAAAATTAACCACGCCAATTTTAATACAATTGGCTAGCAATGAGGGAATGCGCTACGTTCCCAAAAGATGTGCGAAAGCAGGAGTGACTGGGGTAGTTAAGGATGAGTCAGCTCTTTCCCTCTAGAATTAATTCAAAGAAATTAATTAATTGTCAATATCCTTCGTTACCATCTACTCTTGTACAGCTAATTTGTTGCAAAGGAACATGTCTAAATGCTTTCAGGTTCGTTTTCTATAATATAATTTTGTTCTGTCTTATTGGCAACAATTGTTAGGGAATATTAAAAAAAAAATGTTGCAATAATGAGCTTTGTTGAAATGCAGATCGGTATTTTGACAATTTTCGCAGAGTTCCTTTTAATACACATTTTTGGTCAAGTCCCGCGAAACTTACTCGTTCCAGTTTTTGTGAAATTAAGTTTCCGAAGAATTAAGTAACAATAAAGTAGATGACTGAAGTTCTCTTTGTAAAACCTAGTTCCAGGTAAACCAGAAGTGTTCGTCGAACAACCGAAAACGGCTGTTGTTGTATCTTGGAAAATTAAGGACAAGAACGGTATCCTTAAAGAGTACTACGTGACTTCTGTGAGAAAGGATGACTTGTCAAAAACCCAGACTCTTGTTACCAAGAAAATGGAAATGCAGTTTGATTTAAAGGCGGAAAAAACTTATGAATTCCAGGTAGACAGAATTCTTTACTCTAGTTTAAATTGTATTAAAATTAAAAAAAAGAAACTTTCGGGAATATAGGTATGAAAAAAAAAGTTATCTCAGTCAATTGAGTAGTTGTCTAACATTCAGTTAAGTTTACTTTGCAAAAAATAAAATTTCAGTTTGGATTAGTCAATAGTATTAAAGCTTTTAATATTTGATAAAAAAAAGATTGTTTAAAGCAACCTAAACTCAAGGTGTTTCTCCTATAGGACTAAATGATGTTTTGATACAGCTACTATATTCCTCAGTTGCATTGTAAAAGATAGTGACAAACAAAATAGAAGTTTTGTATGAAATAGTGAAAAACATAGGAAAGTTACTTGCAGTAGAGAAAAATATATAGATCTGTACCATNGAAAAGTAGTTTCTGGTCTGATTTAATAGCTTTCCTGTCTCTGTAATAAATGAAACATTCCTCTCATTCACCCGACAGAACCAAATGTGACCATGTATCCCAGTATCATCTATGGAATGGTTGGTTTATTGGCTCTTTGCATCGCTTCTTTCACCTGTTAAAACACATACAGCAGGTCAGTGAGGGAACATTAATGAAACTCAACGTGAGACAAATATTCCTGCACAGTAGCTGTCTTCTCAGTAGAGCTATAAATGTCTTCGCAAGATTTTAAGAACGTGTCCATGAGAGCACCGGGCAGTCGTGATACATGCCATCTCGCCGATTTCAATGAAACTTTGCCAGTTCAAAGGATCTACCCCAAAACTCAAAATGGCGAACTGGTTTCTGCTTTGGTTATTTCCGGGGGGAGATAAACCACCCCCCCCGGCTTTTCTAGGTTTTCACTAAAAAATGGCCTCAAAATAGGTAAAACGTAAGAAGCTCTTACCGCAACTGTATTTAACAAGTTGGTACATACATATTGGTACATCCTTCATAAACGTTTGATACAAGTTTCAATCGATTTGATTGACGGCTTGTCAATCAACAGAGGTGAATAAAGTGTGTTTTTACACTTTTCGATTCACTCAAGTATATGGTAACTTTGAGGTCAAATATCTCTCCTTGCTCGAAAGATACAACTCTAATTCGAAAGCCCCTTTCTCGTCTATTATTTCATCTCTGGAAGTCATTAAAAAAATCTTTGGGTACTGCCATATTTTTGTCTTTTGAAATCTGCCCCTGTTAAAGACTCTCTCAACTACACCTGTCACGCAATTCAAGCTGTAGGCAGCTATTCAGGCAAGTATACCATCACTTTAAAGCTAGTTAAACAAGATAGTTAATCAAGGAAGCTAAGAAATGTAAGCAACTTTCCAGATTCTTGGTAGAAATTGGAAATTTCACGTTTAAAGAGAAGCATGTAGGCGAAATATTGATGGAAGAATCGTACCGTTTCTCCCTTCGTTTTTTTTTTTTTTTGGAGATTTACTAAAAAAGAGGCAAATGTGGCTTTCTTACGGCAAAAAACATTTATTAGTCTTTGATCTGATTTTTATTATCAGAGTTTACAATCAAGAGATTGTAACAGGAGAGGAGATTTTAAATTCATACATTCAGCTTGCTTGTTAACATACAAGTTCCCGAGTACAACAACTTCATCTTTTACACATAGTGGATGACGAGAAACTCTGCTGTCTCGCTTGAAAGTGAGATATCAATAGCTCTATCAAGTTCATAAATTGCGTTATTTCTCCAGGTCTTCTAGGTCTCGTTTAAAACATTTCTGTATGCTCCAAATGGGCCTGCAACACACACTTCTGCTGCTTTATTATCACCGTAATGCAATCAATATTTTTTTGCCGGAAACTTTTGTAAATGACAAACTAGACACGTTACATGTACGAGTACGTTATGTGTTGGAGGGTTAGAGATGTTATCGTGACCCCAAACACATCCATACACGTTCATGTAACGTCTGAAAAATGTCACGCAAGTACAACACCTTAGGCATACCTTGCGTCGTTGCGAATGCCTTCCGTTTGCTTCACCAAGTCTGTGACCTCCAAACACATCACGTAATCATGCATGTAACGTCCAAAAAATGTCACTGACGCACAACATCTTGGGGTTACCTTAACGCTTGTTTCACACTGTGCGCACAGGTCGAAAATAGATGTATAAATAAGTAAGGTTTACCAGTTTTTTAAAAACTCCTTGATGAAGTCTGCTATTGTCAGACGAAACGCGTAGAAGATTAAATCAAGTATGCTCACTAATTTATCATTCAAAAAAAAAATTTCGATTAAAAAGAACAAAATAAAACTGTCCTTCTATTTCTTTTCATTTTCTGTGATTGGTCAAGGAAAGTCGCGCCATTTTCTAAACAAAAGTTCAAAATCAAAACTAATTGTAAAGCGGTAATTAGCAGAGTTAGTTTGCTTTTTATTTTTTTATTTTGAGTTCTTATGGCTCTACGTAGTATTTTTCTTGGCTCTGATTGAAAAACGAAAAAGGTTATTGTTTACAATTGCTTCTACCTTTGTGTCTTGAACAGATGGTCATACGGCATAGTAATGCGGGAGGTGTTTACGATTGGTATGTGGATAGATGTGAAGTTACCTTTTTTGTANTTTTTTTCGACATATGCACGAAGGATCGTGCATATATACGTTATATATGTAAGTGGTTTATTAGCTTTTTCATCTCTCATTTTACAAATCAGTACCTCTCAAGAAATGGTCTATTGTTCCGGCTCGACTTCTCACATTAAGTATTAAACAATAATCCTTTTGTTCGTTGTAGCGTTGAGGGAGTTTGGCCGAAGCTACGTGAAAAAGTTCGTGACTAATCGCAAAAAAATTTTCGGCATGACAATTTATTTATTTTGGGAGAGTAGGTAGCGCATATTTGCACAGGTAAATTGTCACCGGAGTACCCAAAGGGAAAATTAACCACTGATTTACCCGCTATGGGGAGTGGGTAGCGTAAATTTACCTCGTCAAGTCAACTCTCAAGACCCCTTGCATTGACGTCACACTTTATTTACATACCGTTAGTTACCAGGCACCTGGAGGAGCACTACGCGATTGATCATCGTAGCGTTCTTGTGAATATTTTGCTAGTGATACCGAAAGATGTCGAAAAAAACCGTCGAAAAAGGATATTTACCTGGCTACCATGAGTCGCTCCCCGACCAATTATCAAAGGAAAGATATGGGAGTAAATTAGAGCAAATCGAAGGTACTGATCCCTACGAAATTCCGAAAAAAGATTGGAAAGACGACGTTGAGTTATGGCCGTCAGTCACGTACATCGATGTCGGGATGTATCTGCTGTTTTCAAAGAGTCCATACACAGAAGAAGAGTTAAAAAACTACAAAAGTTTGAAGTGTTATCAAAACTTTATTAATGGTTGGGTTCGAGAGGTTTTAGTTAAAGATATTGGCGAGAGAAGGCTCATAATTGCTAAGGTGAGCTTGCAGCTTCTTGTTGGACGTAAATTCGTTGACTAAAAATTCGATTGGGCCTTCAGCTTTTACCATCGTTTATTTTTCCTTCAACAGGTAAACCACTCTATGCGAATGTCTGAGAAGCCGCTAACTCCTTGGATTATCAGCCACAAAGATGGAAACGTTCTAGTAGCACACTGTGATTGTATGGCCGGTCTTGGCGAAAGTTGTTCCCATGTTGCGTCGTTGCTGTGGGCTGTCGAAGCTGGAGCAAAAAAACGATACTCACTGACTGTAACCGATAAAAAGGCATACTGGGTGCTTCCATCTGCAGTTCAGAAGGTTCCTTACTCTAAGATAAGTGACATTGTGTTTAGCAAATATGGAGGAGTGAATAAGAAAGCAAAAACTGAATCGAAAGTTCCCATCTCAT